GTGTGTGTGTGTGTGTGTGTGTGTGTGTGTGTGTGTGTGTTTAGACCATTAGCTCAGTATCCCCTCCCTAGCCTTTTTATCACCCTCATTCTCTTAGAAGTAACTCAGCATCCATTTATAAAAGCTCTGAAACAACACTCACCGATCTATAAGTAAAAGCTTTAGATCCATTACACTAAATGGATGCATGATGTTGGTGTATTTTCTGCTCATATCTCCTGCTCTTCTGTCGGCCCATGTCTGTTGACTTAGAATAGCAATAATGTCCGACGGTACTTTGTATTGCTCAGACCAGCTCTGTCTTCACCCTTATCTCCCCTATTTGTTCTTGATGGTAGGGTGGATGGATACAGTACGGAGGTAGAGTGATCATCTCTCAGCTAGGGAGCTGCCCTGCACGTTCTGTGAAATGAATCTCTGAGCTGTAGGGATATTTGATTTATACGTCTACATTAAACAATAAAAGGTCCACTTCCAGGGAAATTCCATTACATAACCGAATAGACCGAGTCATCCCGCCCACCCACTTCCCTTTCTCACTTCTTACCAGGTGGCTCCTCAGCAACATAGCTTCCATATATATTTTATATGCAAATGAAGGCTGATGGCCTTTATTCATTTAATGTGTACCGCTGGAATTACAACGTAATAATTCAAATAATTATTAATACAATTATCTTATTTTCCATTTAATCAAAATAATTAGATTTGAATGTGCTGTAAAAGGTGACTACAGATTCCTTACTGTACCTGCTCTGACAGTATTGATCTGCACCTTACCCTGACCTCTGACCTCCCATAGAGGGAGTATGTAGGGAACAGAAAGTTGCCCCACTGCAGTCAGGAGAGTTGCACATCTACTATTATTATTAATACGTAATCCAGTGGGTGGTTGTGTCACATGCTGCTTGTTATGTAATGTTTACTGTTTCAGCCACCTGAGCCATGACATACATCATCACACTGTAACACAAAGTGGATAGCAGCAAAACAAATGCTCCTTTGTTTAAGTGATCACACTCCTACTCTGTCAGTGTGATTAGCAAACTACCCTTTGAGCTACTGAGGCCTACGTGAGTCCAAAAGGTGAGATGCACAGAGCTACTCGTGGATTAATGGAAGACTTCAAAGGAAGAGAATTATAAAAGGAACCAGTATTAGAACTGACCGTTTGCTCAGCGTAGCCCCCCCCCCCCCCCCAGTTACTGTTGCTACTGTACGTTTACAATTTTTCAACATTAGAAGAGAAAAGGCTCTTCCACTGAGGACTTACCGATGAATTTGGCAAACTCGTCGCTATCTTGGGTAACAATGGCTGGGGGTTGCTGGAGTGTAAACTACAAGCTCTTACTTGTAAAATCCAAGCAAGAGCTTGATGCTAACATTAGCCTAGACTCGAGTAGACTCCAGGACCAACGTCCACACTATCAATGTGATAACCTGTAACCCCCAAACTCTAGTGAGTTAAAGCGGTGCTCCCTGACCTTGTAACTCTCTTAACACTCTTATCTGTAAGCTAGTTAGCCGCCATGCTAACGTCGGCAAACTACATAAGCAGATAATCATTGTTAATCCTTTTCCTCCACTTTTGCAGAGAATGGATTGTGGATTTGTGTTTTTCTATTATAATAATAATTCTATTTGTATAGCGCTTTAAAAAGTACTCAAATGCACTTTAGATGGTAAAGACAGAAACAATTAAAGCTGCGAGCAGCGATGAACGGGGCCTCGCAATCTGCAGCGCGTCGGGGGTGCCGGCGGGACTCCGGCCTGCGCGTCCGAGAATGTCCGCGACCGTCGGACGCCGCGTCCGCGAGCGAGACGTTTTTAATCCCGCGTGGACCGCCTGATGCCGGAAATGATGCTTTGCAAATAGTCCGATGCTTCCTGTATCCGCTGCCTGGCGCTACAGAACACGTGCAAACATGCATCATGTAGCTCTGTGTCAAATGTAAACCACATGGTGTAAAAGTCATGTAAATCGGAGGTGTTTATCATAAAATCCAGATTTCCTATCGCCAGCAGGTGGCGCTGTGAGTATTAGTGAAAATTAGCTCGTAGACATCCTCAGGCCATGAGTGTTATAAAGCATGAGAAGTTTGGGACCGTTTGGAACAACTCCAGCTGAGTTACATCAGACATTTCCTTTAGCCAGTAGGCTTTGCGGGTTTACTGTAGCGCCCCCTAGTGGTCGAATGCAAAACAATTATCAGGGTATGTTACTGGATGCAATATGCACATATGCTGAATATTATGTGTATTGATATTTTGCCACGCACCTAAAAAGTGTATTGGTCCATATCTTGTAAACACAAAGAGATATCAAAAAGATTTTTCATAGAAATCGGACCCAGCGCGTAGGAGTTCGCAAAAATGAGGTTTTTTTTCACTAAATTCAAAATGGCTGACTTCCGGTTGGGTTTAGAGCTTCGAGCCCAGGGGCTTTTTTGTCAGTCTACATGTGATACATCTGTTTACCAAATGTTATACATCTAAATTTTATATATAGATAGTGAAACGTACTGCGAGGGCTGCATCGTCGAAATATTGGATAAATTCATACAAAATTGAAAATGGCAGACTTCTGGTAGGGTTTAGAGCATGGTCCCAAGAGACTTATTTTTAAGTCTCCATAGGATACATGTGCCTACCAAGTTTCATACATGTAGCCAAAACGTAGCGCTGGGGCTACTCTTTTGAAATATTGTAGGGGGCGCTATAGAGGCAATTTAAAACAGCCAATAAAGAAAATCATATAAACTATTTCTTCCAATGACCTGCGACACATGTACAAAGTTCCATGCATTTGTGAGCATCCCAACCCACTAAACCATCAGCTTCCTTTTTCATGGCAAACTGCATCGCCACGGCAACAGCGTGGATCGAAAACTCACAATATTCATGGCGATTTATCATCAATGTCTTAAGGCTATCCTTACCAAATTTGAGACTCATCAGGTCACCTGGCTAGGAGGAATAAATAAAAGTATAAAATATGACATTTCCTTTAGCCAGTAGGCGGTGCTATGAGTTATTGTAATATTTTCAATTGAAGTATGTTTAGGCTTGAAGTAGCATCATGCATAAGAAGTTTTGTGCGAATTGGATAATGTACCTTGGAGCTATAACAACTTATTTTTTCATAAACAATGAGGCAAAATGGCCGCCACGCCACGTCAAGGTTCTTTGATGAAAACCCTCGATTTTGATAACTTTTAATCACAAAGGTCTTAAGAGCATCCTGACCAAAGTAGAAGTTGATTGCTTAAAATCTCTAGGAGGAGTTCATTAAAGTGCAAAGGCTGAAATCTGCAAAAAGTGACAAAAAGCAGAACTTCGAGGGTTTACTGTAAATAAATATCAGGGTATGTTAGAGGATGCAATGTGCACATATGCTGAAAATCTGGTAATTTTAGGACAAACGGTTGAGAAGTTATATGTATTGATATTAAGCCACGCCCCTAAGAAGTTTATTGGTACATATCTTGTAAACGAAAAGAGATATCAAAAAGCTTTTGATAAGTTTTGACGATGTAGATCCAGTAATGATCCACAGCAAATTTGGTAGTAATGGGACTAAGCATGTAGGAGGAGTTCGCAGAAATGTGTTTTACACTAAATTCAATATGGCGAAAAATCTAAGTAGGCGGAGCTTAGGGGTCTGATTGGCTTTTTTGTAGCTCTAGCTCAAGTGGACATGTGTGTCAAATTTCAAGTCAATCGGACATACTGGCCGAGGGGCGTCGCCGGTCCGACTTGTAGGGGGCGCTAGAGAGCCATTTCTTAACACAGAAAGATGCATTCTTTTTCAGATGCCTATATTCACCAGGCCTGACAAGGCCCCAAAATTTGGTGAGTTTTCTTCATGCATGGCAAGTCCTCCAACCATGCGTACGTTTACCCAAACGGGTACAATATCAATAGGGCCTTCGCGGCCCGACGTCGGTAGCTCGGGCCCTAATAAAATATGAACAAGGCAGAGAGATGACAATGTAACGGTAATACACAAAACAACAACATACATACATTGCATCACAGGATAAAAGCAGATTTTAATAGGTGAGTTTTAAGTGCAGTTTTGAAAGTGGCGAGTGACGGAGAATGTCTGAGGTGTTGGGGCAGGGAGTTCCAGAGGGAGGGGGCAGCAACGGAGAAGGCCCTGCCCCCTCAGGTCCGATGCTTTGACAGAGTAGGGGGAGTTAGGAGGTTGGCATCGGCAGATCTGAGGTTGCGGGTGGGAGAGTGTCGACACAGGAGGTCCGAAAGATATGAAGGGGTGAGGTTATGAAGGGCTTTGTATGTGATGAGGAGAATCTTGAACTGGATTCTTTGCTGCATGGGGAGCCAGTGGAGGTTTTGAAGGACTGCGGTTGATGTGGTCTCTGGTGCGTGAGTGGGAGAGCAGACGAGCAGCTGAGTTCTGGATGTATTGTGCATGAAAAAGGCTAAAGAAAAAACACTTCTCCAAGCTCTTTAAATGCAGAACCTCTATCACTACAGCCTCATGTACACCACTTCAGCATTTGGAGAACTCCAAAGCTTGACAGACCTACCACGTCTTGTTAAGCGAAACTAGAAGAAGACTGCTGCTGATTTGCAATCTGTGTCTGTCTTCGTGTCTGTGCAGCTACCTAGACAGCCTAGATCGGATCGGTGCCCCAGACTACCAGCCCACAGAGCAGGACATCCTGAGGACCCGAGTGAAGACCACAGGCATCGTCGAGACACACTTTACCTTCAAAAACCTCCACTTCAGGTCAGTTTTTAACTCATAACATTGACATTTCTTTTACTGTCAAAAGCACTGCCTCTTACCCATCGCTCTGTCTGCTCCTCTTATCCATGTAGAAACTCCAGTCTGTAATTAATGTGATGCAACGCTTTAAACAAGTGTCTATATCTACGACTGTCTGTCATTTTAACTAGATCTGATTCAATTAGAGCAAGTAGCAGTGGGGATGATGGCAAAGAGGAGGGGGGTGTTCAGATGGTAGGAGGAGAGGGAAGGAGATCTTTTTCTGACCTCTAATTTAATTAATATATTTCTGCCCCTCTTGTGTACACACACACACACATATATACGGAAGTATTGATAGGCACAGAGCGGAGAGGTTGATAAACTGTGGAACCACTTGTTTTTCTGGATGGATGCACCATCACACTTCAACTGATGTGTGTTTCCCTTTCTGACCCAATCATTCTCACACTCACACACAACTATTTATGGTGTGTTCAGATACATACACAACACTCCTAAACGTCAGTTCTGCTGACTGATGCTTTCTACTGTTACTCTTGTGTTTGAGTAGGCGTTGTGCTGCTGGGTGTGTTTTCGTTGAGAAGCCTAAATATTGTCAGCTCAATTGCTGTTACTGGCAGTCAGGCAGTGTGTGGGAGACTGCAGTGTTCCTGTACTGGGTGTAACCCATCAACCTACCCACCATTAAACCCATCACATGTGGAACCGAGTTCACTTCACTTTGGATGCACTCGTCTCTGGTAGTAGTCTGTCTAGGTACTCTACAAACCACAAAATGACAACTTATACATAAGAGTTGTCATTCCAAGCTTATAAAGACACGAGGTGAATTACTTACTTAGTTTGAAAAGGTCCATCTGGTCTAAGATACACAGTTTATGAACTGAGTGTCTGAAATGGGCCCAAAAAAGGGAAAGGTCAAATCAGAATGACCTTTAGACCGTTTGACATCAACAAATGTGTACGTTTATTGCAACATCGGTATCCAAACGTTACAACTTACAATGAGAAGAAAACCGGCAGAATTTACGAGATCCCACATTGTGCATATAGAGAGACTGACTGAGCCTTTCAAACACAGAATAAGAAAATAAAAGGTTGGGGGGGGGGGATTGGTACGTTAGAGTTGCTCTTATAAACAAGCATAAACAATTATTAAAAAACTGAAATGATGTACACAATGCTACAATATATAATACAGTATATGTTGAGAATATAAGTAAATAATAACAATAAGAGATAAGGATTTAGAAATACACAATACTGAGATGTGGGATCTATTAAGTATGTTGAATATAAATGCAAAAATAGTATTAATAAGAATTGAATAAGAATATGTATTGAAATTTACAGTATACAATGAATATGAGTATTGCACAGTTGAAACATTGCACCATTCATTGTACAGTTTAATCATTAGTGCACATAAGAGTAAGTAAGAAGTGAGTGAGAAGACACTGTCTTCTGTGTGTGTGTGTGTGTGTGTGTGTGTACACGTGTCTATTGATTCACGGCTGTCTCTCTGTCCATCAGGCTGTTTGATGTGGGAGGTCAGAGGTCGGAGAGGAAGAAGTGGATCCACTGTTTTGAGGATGTCACAGCTATCATTTTCTGTGTGGCGCTCAGCGGATATGACCAGGTGCTGCATGAGGACGAGACCACGGTAAGGACGGATGTTCACATGTGCATCTTCTCTCTCACTCTGTCTCACTGATGCTGTTTCTCTGTCACTTAGTGGCCTCATGACCCATTTATAAATATCGGAACACACCTTTTAAAAGGATTCTATGTCAGATGGCATCAGTAATGATATTTTATAGATTCGGGATGTGCAACAGCATGGGTAATAGTCCCCTAATACATTCAGACACGGGCTATATAGCAGCTAGTTTAAAGATAGAGTGTACGCTTGCTCTATGTGTAGAAACGGTGTTTAAGATGAGATTAAACACAGCCTGTGTAAAAGCTTGAGATAGGGCGGAATAAATATCTGTGGTGCTGTTTGATGAGCTGATAAATAATTAAGCTATTTCCATTTCATATATCAATTTTTCTGATTTCTTTAGGAATGACTGGTACATACAGAGAAACATAATAAGCTCTCATTTTGCATCTATTTAAATATCTGGTGTTATTTAATAATAGTGAACTATCAGCAATTGTCTGTCTTCATTCCTTCCAGTACGACTCGAGCACAATGTGAATTCTTTATGGAATTCCGTGGTGTTTGCTCTGGATCTCAGTTTGGTACACCATCCTCCGATATCACAACCAAACATGTAAATAAATCAACGGACTACTGCCGAGGGCCACATTCAAAATACTTGTTGAACTTGTTTGTTTAACAAAACACTTAATCCAACAGTGCTCTCTCTCTGGTGAAACCCGCTGTTGGATGGTTCCAATGGAAAAATACACGAGGAGATTGTTTTTCTCCATGCAAATCATTCTTCCCTATGCTGACACTGCAAAACAAGTTGCATTCTGGCCAAAGCAAATGACCCGTTTTGAATGATGGGATGGTCATGTATGGTCGCTCACGAAGTTGCTCTAAAGGCAAATCACGCTGACTGTAAATTATGAGATATACAGTCGGTGTAGAAATCATCTATGAAGTTTATGTGATGCCTGTATTCACCTTACTTACTTTATTTTAAAGAGATTTAATACTAAATCAACACAGAGATATAATATGATTTAGAGAATCAGGTGATTATACAACATTATATATAATCAAAAACCTTTAAATTGCAGGACTTTTTTCCTTTTTTTTTTCTTTACAATTATTGTAAATTGATTGTGTGAGGATTTTAAGAAGTAGAGAGTGTTAAAACAAACTACTCATGTAGACCTGTCTGTTATTTGGTTAATGTAAGGCCCTGGACAAGGTAAAACACAGTCACAGCTCAGCGTTTCCTCAACAAAAAGCCACACCCTGCCATGTGGCTGTAAAGACCAGGTACAAATGAGCTGATTTTAATGCACGACACTCGCTGCTATTTATAAAGCCTGAAGTGTTTCCTCTGAGAATTCTGGGCTGGGACACTGCTCTGTAGCTGCTCTATTCATGCAGATATCATCAAGCCTCCCCCTGAGCTGGGAGCACCAGAAGAACGTCAGATGAAGAGACGCAATATCCATCATAAAACACCAACAGCTTCTAGTGTGTGTGTCGTATATCTGAGTCCATTTTAAATGGTGCGTTGTCCAAATGTCGGCAATGTAAAGTCATGGTAATACTTTGAGTGTGGCTGCTATCGTGTTTGATAGGAGAACATTTCTCCTCTATAGGCAACATTAAAAGTAAACATAATTTCTGTCCCTCAGCTTCAAAAAGCAATTGCGTGTTTCTAAACTCACAATTTCAGGGAGAAATTCATTGTAAAATAGGCAAGACAGACTAAGACCTCAAATGATCAGACTGTAATGCGGTGATATTATCCCCATAATCATCAAAATGTGCTTAAAAACTCTTGAAATGGCACTCAAATATACCGTAAACACTTTGGCTTTCATTTTGTAAATAAACAAATATTTTTATTGCATCACAGATGGTACAAACATCTCCCTTTTTGGTTAAATACAAAAAAATCTTAAATGATCTTAAAAGGTAATCATAAATCATAAAGGTCCCCCTGCAAAAAGTGAATACAAAAATTCTGTTCTTTCTTTCATGTTAATTCTGGTATTTTAAATATCAGGCTCTGTATTTCACTTCTCTACCATGAAAGTCAGCTAGGCAGCTCTTTCAAGTCCCTCTTGACGATATTCAATGTTATCCCGATAATGGAAATTGACCACGATCTACTTACTGTGAGTGTTTTTATCGTAATCCGTGATAAAATCCTCTATCGTCCCCTTCTCTACCCACATCCTCTCTCAGTTCTGCTGTCAGACACAGACAGTCATGGCATGTGATCCAGAAAGTAAAACGTAGTAGTGCAGAAAAGATATTCTACAACCAAGACCTTAAGATAACACCCCATTCTCAGTAATGAGAGCGATAAAGTCATGGATATATTTCCTCTGGGTAGTTCATTAAAGCCACTGATAACCATGACTTTAATTAGAATGCCAGTTTTATTTGCCATAATACTACTCCTGTCTAGACAAGGTTAAGACTATTCTTAGTATACTAGACTCTTAGTAAGAGATAGGTGACATTTACATTGATATTTTAACATCAAGTAAAACTAAGATACTGTCTTCCTGAAACATATCCGGACAATACCCAACGCTCAATAACATTGTTCAGACTTTTTTAATACCACGTAGAAAACATTTCCGATGTATGAAAGTATGATGGAAAGCCAGTAGGGACAATATATCATATGATTGTTAAATATTATATCACATTTCCCACTACTTCCCTGCAGTATAATTCCCAATGATATAATTGATTTAATTAATGTGACTTGGACCTGAAATGGCAGCATAAAATGGAATGGATGAATTAACCAATTAATTTATTCAAGTCGTTGCTAAAATGGACACTTTCCCATAATGAGTCTATGAGTCTTCCTAGCAGCTACACGTAGCAGTGTTTCGCTACACTTGTGATGGTGCTGACTGAAACTCTGAAAGCACCACCTCCTTCATGCACAATCCACTGGCTCAAAAATCCCACTTTTACTTTATTGATGTTTAACGGATGCCATCAGCCCGCAGTCAGAACATTTTATAACTATCATCACCAGAGAAAACATTCAAGACTTGTGTAGATTAAATCCTTCTTAGGCTTTTCTTTTTTTAGGAAACTGAATTCAATGACTTTTCAAGAATCACAGATAGCCTGGCATTTGCAGTACCTGTATGTTATTTAACGAGGTCCCATAACAGCTGTTCTGTTTTCTTTGTGTTGGTTTATGCCTCTGCGCTGGCGACAGCCGGGGCCAGAGGCATAATGTTTTCTACGGATCTTTTTTCATACCTTAATTCAAGACCATGGTCTTTCAATTTGAGAGCATGAGTCACAAGATTTCAGGTTCAGATTTCGTAATGCTCTCCCCCAAAACCCTGTCCTCACACTCAGAGCTAACGTTAGCTGTGCATCAAGCTAATGTTTGCTGACTCTGTACATAGAGCACTTTCAGCCCGAGCGTGTTTAGTTTGAGCTCTGAAGGGAACTACAAGACTTAAGTATAGTTACAGCGAGTGGATGTGTTAATGATGGCCGACCATGGATGTATTAAGAGGAAGGGGAGGCCACCAGATTGGTACCACCTCGGCTATTTAAGTGTGAGGACAAGGTTTTGAGGGAAAGCATTACAAAATCTGAACGTGAAATCAATGAGTCGTGCTCTCAAAATGAAAGAACACGCTCTTGAATAAAGATAGGAAAAAAGCTCCATACTTTTAATTTGTTCCTTCCGTTTATTGTCATTTTGAGAGGACAAAATGTAAAAGACCACCTCACCGGACCCCATGCTAAAGGTTTTGACTGTATATGTCGATCTAAATGTCAAAGTGCTTTTTGGACACAAACGCACACAGTACAACACATACTACTTCTGCTTTTTAATTCCCTTCCTTCTATTTAAGAACTGCTTGCATTGTGTTTTTCTCTGCCTCTCTTTGTTTTGTTTCTGTGAAAACACACAGACGTCACACACGCAGGCTATGTAATGCCAGCTGCTCTGGTTGAACACTTCTGCCTCTAAACACTTTCTTTTCAGCCCTAGGGGTGTGTATGCATATTGTATGTGTGTTTGGGTTAAAGCGGGTGTCATATAGGACGTAGGCCGTGGGTGGGTGAGCGGGTCCCTTGCATTTTCTGTTCCTGCTCTAAACTCCGTCCTGCAGCATTTCTGGCTCCTTCCACTCCTCCTGTCACTCTCGCCATCGACTGTCCTCTCTTACCAATCAGCAGTCAGATCTTCTACAGATGCTCCACCCACAGACAGGTATGAAACCTCCCAATAGGTTGTGTCTTCATCTATTACTTAAATCTTGCTTTAAATATAGCATCAATGCTTTATACGCCCTGTGGAGCTTTTATGGTAAACACTGTTTTTGTTTTGTTTACATTTAACGTTTGTCACAGAGAGGCATTGTGTGTTTCTGGCTTAAGAAACATGTAAAATGTTCTACCTCCTAAAAATATTTGCAAAGCTAATTTAAATGTGCATCGTTTACACCAGGGTGCTTATTCTTCTTCACCTCCTTCATTGGTTCACTGCAACCTATATAGTTCATTACCTCCACAAGCTGTTGCTGCCTCCTGCAGAATACACAAACCTCTGCTCACGGTGAGCAAGTTATTTCCTCAAGTACATGTGACAGAATGACTAAAACACTCGATACAGAGACCGTCTTTTCTAAGCATTGCTCTTTGGTGCCCCTAGTGGTCAAAAACCTCCACACGGCACCTTCAAGCTATGTATTCACTCACAGCTTAATCACTAGTAGGGCATGGCTTTGTTTAACTCAGCTACAACATTCAGCTTACTAATACCTGTTGTTACTGATGTGTTGATCTACACACATGCACACAGATATACACACTCAACATGCAGCAGGAAATGGTGTGTCTGTAGACAAGAGGAACTCCTCAGTACTTCTGTTCTGCTTTCTCGTTTTAATTTACCCAGTTCCTCTTTGTGTTTTAGTGGTGTGTATGTAGTATGTGTGTTCTAGATTTGCCCTCTTGTGTGCATGTGGTTTCTGAACACATTTGCACGTATGCTTGTCTGGTTGTTTTGTGTGTGTGTGTGTGTGTGTGTGTGTGTTCATCTACTATGATCATGCAGAAGATTTTGTTTTAAAGCCCTTTTAACCCTTGGTAATGTCTCTTTTACAGAACCGTATGCACGAGTCTTTGAAGCTGTTTGATTCCATCTGTAACAACAAGTGGTTTAAGGAAACCGCTATCATTCTCTTCCTGAACAAGAAGGACATCTTTGAACGCAAGATCACCAAGTCTCCACTGTCCATCTGCTTCCCTGAGTACACTGGTACATATCGATGCACTCGACAGTGATATTTTCTTGTTAGTTCATGCTATGAACTGCATTATTGTATGAACACTAGTAGGCACTGTAGCTGCTGAGGAAGAGCTTCCCCCACTCAGTATTTACAAAGAAAGAGTGAAGGAAAGGCAAAGAGTCCTAACTTTAAGACTTTACAAGTTTTTGATCAAAGAGTGACAAAGCATTTCAACACTAAACCCAACTCTAGCGTGCTTTGGGATTGGGTCACTGCTTCGAAAGATGAACGTGTTGATCTGATCTCAGTGATCTGTGGATAGAATTACTCATTCATACATGCCCTCTTTCAACCTCACATTTTCCAGCTAATTTCTGAGTTTTTCTTTCCGTTTTAAATTTCAGTTATAATGGTTACAAGCATAGTATTTGTAACTTAGTATTTGTACCTCCTGTAGTTTGGTCTATTTAGGTTCAGAATGGAACGAAACAAAGATGGTAGTCAAAGAAGTGAAAGAGTGAATATTATCAGGAGTGTTAATGGACATTAGCTGGAGTGTGCTCGTCTAGATACAAGAGAAAATCAGAGATAAGACAACGTGAGAAAACCGGAGAGAGCAAGAGTGTGAGAAAATGAGAAAGAAAAAAAATGAACACACTGTTGTTCCACACTGTGGGAAAGCAAGATGGAGAGAAACCAAAACAGCAAGACTGTGAGAAAGAGAGAATTAGAATTCCAAACCTGTTTCCTCTTCTCTTCTTCTCTTCATCCTTTTCCATGGCCAGACTTTGAGCCTATTCTGATGAAGTTGCTGCTGAAGCAGACAGGAAAACCCACAGTGTTGCTCATGGCTCAGAGCCAAGTAGATGTAAAAAAAATTACTCCAATCACTGAGATCAGACTCATTTCAACAGTGTTACAACAAATGAAGGCGCTTGACTGCGTGGCAAACGCTTTGCATTACAAGCAGAACTAGCTCGCACAGTTTATAATGGACTTGAACTAAAAGGTCATACATTAGATTTGGCACTGCTGTGAAATGAATCGGTATACAGTTTGAATCACGGTTCCATCCTTTTGGCTGTAGGACCTAATATCTGTCACAGTCATGTACTGTTCCTCTATAAAAACGATGATACATTGGCAGTATTCAGAAACAGACTTTGTCAACAAAAGCAAGATGCGCAGCCCTCTGCACACCTCAGCAAATATGTGGCGAGCTAGAAAGTCAAAGGTTGTGTTTTCATAAAATATCATAAAATATTGCTGATGCGGTGAATGTGCTGTAGGTTAGCCCACTGATATAAAGGTCCACATGACAGCAGCTCTTAAGCCGTCACCTGACTCCCACTATATGTCCTCTCTCTATCCTCAGGTCCAGACACTTACTTGGAGGGAATAGACCACATTAAGTGTCAGTACGAGAGCAAGAACAAGTCACCCAGCAAAGAAGTCTACTCCCATGTGACCTGCGCTACGGATACCGACAACATCCAGTTTGTCTTTGATGCTGTCACTGACGTCATCATAGCAAATAACCTGCGAGGGTGTGGCCTGTACTGACGAAGACGTTAAATGTTAGCCAATGGATGACAGATGTTTGACTTGTGTTTACCGTACCAGTTCGTAGCACATATTATGTGTGGCCCATGTCAGTAATCATATGATAGCCAGTCAAAGATGGGGCACGGGCTGTGTTTATGATGTCCCCATACTGCTTTATTGTAAGGCTTGACTCTTAATTCATGTATTGATTGGTTGAGTGATTGGTTGAGACTTCTTCTAATGTATTTGACTTCCTCCTTAAGAAGAAGAATTTCCAATAGCTCCGTGCATTTAGTTGTAGCTAAACTCCAAATCTTTTGCCGGTGTGCTGCAGACATCCTGCACAATAGCTCCTGTCGACTCTCCAGGGATATAAGGTTCCTGAGACTTGTTTGTTCATGCAGTACCGCCTTACTCAAAGAACTGGACTGGTTGCTAATTAACAGCAGCCATCTTATAAGGGTTCACCAGCAGTCCACCAAACTGGTGTAATGGGAATCACTCCTCTACCCCAAAGTATTTCTAAACATTTCAATTTAAATAGGAGTTGCCAATCTTCTTTGCCTTAGACTTGTGCCTTAATTACACAAAGGGCCAACGTGAAAGTGACTATATAAGTATGTTGTTAGTCAGGGTCAAGCTCAGGTCACTCCAAGTTTACATCAGAAGGATGCTCCTCAGACTTTATTATGAGCATGTCATGTTAAAGTGTTGACAAGTGTCCAGCTTTCTCAGAAGAAATTGAAAGTGAAGTCATCAGCAAAAAAAAAGTGTTTCTATATATGTTGTGTGAAATAGCTTTTGTGTGCACCGTCTTCATTTTGTTGTATTTGTTGTGTAATTGGTTTTATTCTGTTTTCTGATGACAGTCCTGCTCTGATGTAGGAGCTGCGCTGCAGAGTGTCTGACTGCATAGTTGCACTACGGAGCTCCAAAATACTCCGTATTTATGCAACAGGATATTATGAACTGAATCATCATATTCATAAATACTGTAAGAAAAGATGAAGCATCATTGTGAAATTCTTAGAAAAAAAATCAAACTTAACTCATTATTATGAAGTGTGTATTATTTTCACAATAAAACGTTTAATTTTTTATTTGTAAAAGCAGTTGCTGAGAGGCTTGGACCACATGATGTGAGAGAGGGCAAAGCAATAGTAAGAGTAAAGCTCCATTTGCATGGGCCTAGTATTAAGCCCCCACGTCTGTCCCGTCCCCACGGATATCATATCGAGGCTCTGCGTAATGGCGAAATATGTTGAAAAATTACGAACATGGCATATTTTCACAAATTTAACATCACAGATAATGTCCCCAGGTAACCTGTAGTGCTTTGCACTATCATTAGAAACATGAAAAAATATACTTAAAAAAAAAAAGTAATTTCAAAAATATGTCATGAAATAACATGTCCGTTTTAATTATTGTTCGATCATTTAAAATTGTATTTTTATTTTCTGTATTTTATCATATTTGTTTCATTTAGTGTTAGTGTTAGTTAAAATGATGTCTCATTCATTGGTTTAATATTACTCTTTTTGTAGTTTCATATCAAACAGCGTGACGCCTTGCTTAACATAATGATTCAACATGTAGGACCTGCTCTCCTCTGGCCTTTTAGAAACACACGGACTCGGAACAGACTATCAGTGTCAATACATCAAAGCCTTTCCTCAGTCACACTCTTGTCTTTTTGTTCACTGTATTTTGAATTGATGGCACTTAAAGGCCCAGTATGTCCAATTTATGTGTAGGATTTCTCAGTTTACAGATCTTTTTTTTTTAGCTGATAAAAAGCTTAATCGTCCTTAACGATAGCTAATTGGTTTCCAGATTGCATTTTGGCCAATGTGTTCCGCCTCTATTGCTCCCCAGGAACTGTACTTGTATGTAGCCAAAGCCTGCTCAAATTAGGTCAACATTACCTCAACTACAAACGAAAACCCAAATCTTGGATTGTCGGTTTATATGCATAGTCTGTTTATAGCGGTTATGGTTTGAGCAATGGCTGCTTGTCATCTTATCGAAATTCAAAGGAAGAGCGCCATTAGTGTTTTGGCCTTAGATGCATTTCGTTTGAGACGAAGTATGTTTTGGTACCTATAGAAGAAGGTTATTGAAAGGTTATTGGCATTATCATTTATTTGTTTTTGAATATTTGAAGATACAGCACAGATTTATTCTTTTGGGATTGATATTTCAGCCTCATGTTCCAGCATTCATGTGTCACAATAGATCAGCTACAAGAGGTTAGGGTTCTGACTCAAACAGACAATTCAAAGATAATGCCTCAGAGTAAGCATTGATTTTATAGGGCCCAGGGACAACATCGACTGTGTGGAGCTGCACAGTGTAACATCTTTATTGTCCACCTCTCTGCCTTAATAAGCCAGAGGTGAGCTTTGAACGATTGTGTGCTCGTGGGTACATATAGTCCTCTGGGACCAGATTGTCTACCTTGTTACTATTGTTTCAGCCCCGATATTTTGCTTTCTGCTGAGCGAGTTGCATTTCTGCTGGATAGTCGTCCCAGAGCTGCTGGACGATTGAGGTTTGATGTAGTGCACGGCTTAGCGGAAATGAAAAGTGCTGTGTGCATTTTGTGGGAACAGTTCAAAATTGAGCCTTGACATTAAAGCCAAAGAGATGCGTATAATACCAGGAAAGTATCACCAGCTCCTCCCTTCTCTCCTTCTAAGCAGCATAATAGAGTTTTCTCTGTCTGTGGGACTTTGTTGAGTTGACCGAGCTGAGTGTGTTTGCAGCTTCACTGGTATGAGAGCTCTCTGGCAAACAGAGTTAGCCAGCTTCTTTATTTATTCATGAGCAGGGCATTTGCTCCATTCCACTCCTCCCTCCACTTAAAACAGCGAGGGCCTGTCTGCTTCAAGCTGCCATTATTTTTTCTTTTTTTTTTTAAACAGGTAGATGATGTCATCGGCTCTTCCCGCTGCATCTTTGCCAACTTTCCCAAATTAGAGAGCTGCCTAAGGCTGTTGATCAGCCTGCTTTGTGTGTGCGTTTCTGTCTGTGTATCTTGTGTGTATGTGTGTGTGTTTACCAATTGTATATAGTTACCTACATGTAGTACTTGATAGTACAGGAAAGGTCAGTGTGTGTGTGTGTGTGTGTGTGTGTGCATGCGTGGTTGTTTGTGTGTGTTTGTGTGTGTTTGTTTGTGTGTGTGTGTGTGTGTGCGTGCGTGCGCGCCTGCCTGTATACACATGCATGTCTATGTATTGTGTGAGCTACAACATCAGCCCGTTGGGGGGGTTGTGGTGGAGTCAGTATCTGTGGATTAATTACCCAGAAGGCACCTGTCTACCCTTTCCACACATAGGCCCTCAACACACACACAAACGCACACTGAAGACATAAACACACCCATGAGACTTCAAAATGTCACCTTAATTGCCCGTGCCAAATAATATCACCATATCCAACCAAAGAGCCTCAGATGTTTTTCGGTTTGTTTGCCAAACACGAAGACCGCGGCTCAAAGTCTTCTCCTCTGACTTATTACATTTAATACATAATGGGAACTTTAAGCGATCTGCATCACCTTTGGAGATGTGACTTTAAATTAACATAAAACATCAAACGCTGTTGTCCTGAAACAATGTCAGCATAAGTCCACATAAAAGATTTCTATGATTTCTATGAATCTTCTGTCAGTGGTTACATGGGACATTGAAAACCACTTTTATTTGTAATTTGCATAGAAGCCAAACAGGCTGAGCCTTTCAAAGAGGTTATTTTAGAGAACAGCACAGTTTACGACTTTACCCTGTCACTGAAAACATGTTTAAATCAGCATTTGCTGTATTAACAATTTTAATTAATTTTTTCCCCGATACATTTAGCAACATGTCTTTTTGCCTGAAAGCCAAACCAGCAGTAGACGTGAGCTGTGGAACAATAAGCTGGGTAAAAATTTCATATTTAAATCAATTGCTACGTATCATATACAGTATACTTTAATAAATGCCTTTTTTGGGGGTTAATCCTAGTTTTATACAGTATTGAAATTACCTTGCAGACACCTGAAACAGGATTGTTGTGTCAGAGTTCACCAAACTCACGTTTGTGCGTTTTTACTCCTCTTCTGAGAGAGTCCAGTAATTGTGCCGATGCCATCAGGATTAATTGACTGATTTTGCTGCGCAATGTTGCCATTTAACATGCTGATAGGATACCAGGATGTATAGTATTTGGACCATATATATTGGCTCTAAACCAAGAAATGGAGAAATTACACCAGGGGCCAGGCTGAGAGGTTAGTGGGTAATGTAGTTTAAGTCCCAGTGATAAATAATAGTCCTATAGGCTGCAGGGAAGGAGAGATGTGTGGGTAATGTAGTCTAAGGTCATGCTAGAGAGGGTTTATGGGTAATAGTGTTTTTTTTTAAATTTATTTTAGGTGGATGGGTCTGACGTGAATAGTACAATCAGTGGTTCATTCAGGTAACAACGGTCCGATTATATCTGGGCAGCAGGTGGTGGCACAAAAGAAATGTTAGCACCATGTGCCACTCAATGCCTTAGCTACATAAACAATTTCTGAAATCCCACAATGGCAGCCAAACTTGATTTGATTTGTTACACATGTCAGATGTCAGAAAGAGCTTCTGTGGTGTTGTTTTGCTGACTTATTTATGCCTAAAGTTTTGAAATAGAGTTTTACCTGTAAATGCTTTTGAGTCGTCCAATAACATGTCCAGCTGCCACTCAATAAAAAGAGCACTTAAGCTTCTCCTGCTCCACTGCTGGACTGGGAGAGCATTCAGGAAGCCGCAGGGCACATGACCGTAATGAACTTGTGCAGAATGAAGGAGACGGAGCTGGTAAAAGTCCTTGCGCTCATCATGCTCTCAACTCTTACTGCTGCGTCATTTAACCCCTCTCTCAATGCCAACCAACGTCCCATCTGTACTGTACAGATCCCCTACAGCCAAATCTACAGTCCTGTTTATTGTGGTTCTGCGTGTATGTGTGTGTGTGTGTGGTGTATCTTACTGAGCGCTGTAAGTCAAATGTATCTGCTGCATCCTCCTCACTGCTGTGATAATTTATTAAAAGTTGTATTTATACATAAGAGAAACAACAATAAAGCACCACATGAGTAACTTGATATGTGTGATTATTTTTCTGACCTATTTTGCATTTGCAGAATATTTCAAATTAAATTACTGAGGATGCGTGTCGATTTTTTTTTTCCCTTTTTCCATCTTGCTCTCTGTGTTTTACGAAACTGTGATTATTTATTTTAAACGTTGGAAAGAATTTCCTGAACAGGCCCACTTAGTAAACTTGTTTCTTGTCAGCATGTGTGTGTGAGACAAAGAAATCACTCCTCAGTTGCAATCTTTGTCTGACTGCATAATATGCATGCATGTTGTACTTCATTTAATTAAAGATGCACAAGCAATAACTGTGCAGAAAAGTGATATCTCGCTCGTTTCTCTTTTGCTAAAGTTTTAATTGGAAAGAGAGAGAGGAGTGTGTAACTGCTGGTCTCACTTTCTGTGTATAATAGTATGCAACGTTTTTGGCTCATTTGTCTCGAGTTTGAAATGTGACCGTGACAATAATTTGTCCCTTCTTTCCTCTTCTCTCTTTATCATCATTCATTCACTTTTACCCCTCCCTTTCTCCTCTTTCCACTTTATTCTCTCCATTTAATCCTCTTTATTTTGTCACCTGTTCCCTTAATCTCTCATCCATCCTCTTTCATTCCATTTCTTTCTCCCCCTCTTCTTCTGTCGTCCTCCGCAGAATCGCATGCACGAGTCTCTGATGCTTTTCGACTCGATCTGCAACAACAAGTTCTTTATCGACACCTCCATCATCCTCTTCCTCAACAAGAAGGATCTGTTTGCAGAGAAGATCAAGAAGTCTATGCTCAGCATCTGCTTCCCCGAATACACAGGTAGAACAAACAAATAAAAGCTCTCAAAACACAGCAGCAACCAAACTTGACAGGTGCACAAAATAGATTTCTTAGAAAACACAAAATGCTGCAAACCAGTGACACTGACTCCAATTACGTAACACAGAAAAAGAGCCATAGCAAATTGATCAGTCAATTTAAGGTATGTAAATTGACGGATCAATTCGCTATGGTATAAACATGACGGCTTCATGAGCATGACAATTTTAGGTTCACCCACATTACTGAGGAAGGAGGTTTAAAAGGCTGTTCAGATGCAGACTCGTGAAAAATAGCACCACTGCATACAAGCCGGTCTTAAACAAATGTGTGTTTAGTGCAGTTTTAAAGAAATAATGTGTTTGGAAATATGCTTCTTCACTTTGTTGAAGTTTTCGATGATGAGATTGATACCACTCTCATGCCTGTTTGTTGAGTATGTAGCTGGAGGCAGCAGCCGGTTAGCTTAGCTTAGCATAGCGACTGGGAACAGGGGGAAACCGCTCTGTCCAAAGGTAACAGAATGCACAGTACCAGCACTTCTGATATTCTTCTAGTTATATCTTGTTGCTTTAATCCAAACAAAAGTAGAAAATTGACAATTCTAACAAAATCTCCAGCACATAATTCTTTTTTCAATGGAAATTGTCATATTTATACTCATGCTTCGTTCACTAAATACCTAGAAAGAAACAAACGTGTTATTCATGATTTTTAATGGTTTTGGTTGACGGATTTTGTTACCTGTGGACGGAGCCAGGCTGGCTTGTTCCCCTTTCCTGTTGTTATGCTAAGCTAAGCTAAGTGGCTGTTATATATATATATATATATATTGATATTTCCCATACAGACATGAGCGTGGTGTCAATATTCTCATCTAATATTCAGCAGGAAAAGAATAAACATGTCATACCCTGTCCCTTAAACTTCAAATCTGATGTTCTAAAACTGCTTGACAGCCAATATAAAGAGTGAATTTGAGGTGATACTATATGAGGCAGGGTTAAAGAGAGGAGCACTAGTTAAAAAGAGATGATGTATGAATAAATACCAGCTGTCTGATCTTAATGTGATTCCCAGAAGCTAAATACAGTAGCTTTCTAAAACCTCTGCGGTGTTTCTGGACATTGATCAACAGCTGCTTGATACAGCAGATTGGTTTGTTCTGCGTTGTAACTCCGGAGCTGTGAGGAACAAACTGGGCGTTAACTGTTACTGAGTTGTAAAGCATTCTGAGAAATGTGGCACTATTAATCAAAGCAGCTGTTTACAGCATTGAGCCAGTTTGAATTGATCAGGATTTTGCAGGAGAGAGCACCGAAAACCAAATGTTTGATGTTGCCTGTTAGAAGAACTGTGTAGCCTTGATTGGAAAAGAGCGATATATACGTGAAGATTTACTTTACTGTGTTTAAAAGCATGGAAGAAAAGGAGTGAGAGAGGCTGAAATAGAAGCTGCGAGGAGGTGAGAGTCATGGCAGTGAAAAGGAAAGGATTGGTAGTCAAGAGAGCAGGAGACAGTCACGCTTGGTCAGCCATGAAGAGAGAAGAGAGGAGATGGCAAGTGAGAGCTGTCTCCTGCCCTCTTCACACACACATGCAGGTCTCTCACACAATCCTATGCATTTCTGGCTTTCATGCTTCTTTTTTTTTTGATTTTCTAACTGCCTTGATAATCACAGTAAGTCTATCTGACATGTTGCATCTGTTTCCCGCTTCCCTTGTCACCTCCTCCCTTACCTTTACGCGAGGAGCCTCTGAGAATAATATTTCTTTTAAACCGACTAGGGAGAAATTATATTACTGTTATAAGTGTCGGATCTTTTTCAATTTAGAAGTACAAGTGAAGAGTTTCAGTCTTGATGGGTCCAAATAGCAGCAGATATCAGAGGAGGATCTCTGTGCAAAGTTACCCTCCGCGTTAACAAACTAATTTGAACAATTCTATTGCATGAGAACTGTATCATCTATGATTTTCTCCGTCTCTCTCTTCTCTCTCCAGGACCCAATACCTACGACGACGCAGCAGCTTACATCCAAGCACAGTTCGAGAGCAAGAATCGCTCTCCAAATAAGGAAATCTACTGTCACTTGACCTGCGCCACGGATACAGGAAACATCCAGGTGGTGTTTGACGCTGTGACCGACATCATCATCGCCAACAACCTCCGAGGGTGTGGCTTGTATTGAGCTCGCCCACACACCCCGTAATATCCTCCCCCTTTTTGTCCCCTATTCTCTCTCGCCCCTCCTGTCCTCCTCCCACCTCGTTCCTGTTCCTTTGACACTGCTGGAAATGATGACGATGATGATTCTGCTGATTATTTAAAGAAAAAAGAAAGAAAAATGCAACTAGGTACATATTAATAATGAGGATAATTTAAAAAAATAGGCATATATATATATATATATATATATATATATAATGTTTTTAGTTATTGTGTCTTCTCCTCACGCTCCGACTCCTCCTCCTGATGGTCTTTGGCCTGCTGCCAAGCAAACAAATTTGTTTTAGTAGAAAACACGAAACCTGAAGCCTTGAAAACTTCTTGAACAAAGTCAATGAAAGCCTGCATTCCCCGTCCTCCTCTCTTTTTCTTTCTCAGCTGTGTCTTTTGTTGTTAACAAAAACACATCCTGTACCTTTTTTTTGCCAGAGTTTTTTTAATTATTATTGCTATGAATATGACTTATGTTTCATTTTTGTTGATCGTGTGTATATTTATTACATGAGTATCAGTCTGTACACTGATTTTTATTCACATTTTGCCTCACCTTGACATATTTTATTTGTGTCTTATTTTGTTTGTTTTTTTGCTATAGTAGTGATGTAATAACATTTTTTGCAGAAATATGTGAAAATGTCGATAGCACTAAAAAACACCGGACAGGTCGGCGAAAAAACCTTAAAACCTCTCGAGACCTGCTGAAACTGACAACACGTATTTTAACATTAGTCTTTTGTTTACATTAGCCAAGATGTTTGTTGTCAATTTCCCTTTTTGATTTTGAGTACGTTGTATCATTTTACTCCCCACAATCCGGTTTTCATCAACAGGAAGTGAGGCTTCCTGTTTCCCAAACCTGACCTTAGCCATTCACCAACCGCCGGTCGTGGCCGAGCTTGAGAGCCAATAGGAAATGTGCTAAATGTCCTATCAGTGCCATAGAACAGAGGTACTGCACTGTAGATTGCTACGCTTTTAGAAGCAAGTGCACATCGTTATAACTCTACCTTCCTCACTGTTATAACCTCTAGACCTTCTAACATTCTTCGTGCGAGGAAACTCAGTCCGGGTTTGATAATGGTTGATTAATTTTGTTAATTTATTTATTGATTGATCACCCGTCCTACACATGCCACTCTCTCTCTTTCTCTCTTCATTTATACACCACCACCATGCCTTTACTTCTCTCACCTCCAACCATCTCTCTTTCTTTTTGCCTACTTTCTGCATGGCGCCCTAACATCCTGATTTCGGGGTGAAAGGGCCTCTCCTCTCTTTCCAACCCCTCTCTCCCCTTCCTCCTCCTCCTCCTAAAACCCTGACACAGATAGCATGAGATACTCAAGCCTTTGTATAAAGAGACCAGTTAATTCATAAAAATGAAAAATAAAAAAGAAGCTCCACATAGATGCTGTTAAGATAATAACTTTAAAAAAAAGAATTTAAATAAAAATAGCAAAAGATGAATAAAAAAAGATGGGGGGGGGGGGGAAAAAAAAAAAAAAAGTAGGAGATAGATAGCGGCAAAAAAAAAAAAGGGATTATTGGGTCCTGGAAAGGAGGGGGGGGGTTAAAAAAAAAAAAAAAAAAAAAAAAAAAAAAAAGTGAGTCAAAAGGTCATGTGAGTGGCTTGGAAGTGTAGATTTGGGGATTCTTGCAGTAACACGTAGAAATAAAACAGTCAAAAAGGACAAAAAAAAAATCATAAAACCAATGAACGTGGGTATTACAACAACAACGATTCTGTAATATTCTAAAAAGATAATCTTTCTTGTGCTTTGTAGCTACGAAACATGTTTTCTGTCTATATCTCCCCTTTTTTAAAATACAAATGTTTTGCAAAGGGTTCCAATTTGACAGCGAGCTGATTTGGAACCACGACGATCTCATGTTGACCCCGTGTTGTTGTGATGCTCTGAACTGTGCCCCAGCCCCCTTTCCTTTTACCGGTTTGCCTGTTTCCCTGCATCAGAA